GGGGGTGAAAATGTGAAGAAGGGTGAAATTTTGGGTGAAAAACATCAAAAATCCGAGAATTCTCGCACCCTTTATATAGGGGTGCGAGGGTGCGGTCCGAAAGGTGAGTCAGCAGCCACACGTCATCAGCTACAAAGGCCACGAGGCCGAGGTTCGGATGCGAGACAGCGAGGCAAGGCGCATGTCGGAACCGGGGGAGGCGGCTACTGTTCATGTGAGGGGTGTCAGCCGGCTACTGGACCTCGGATGCGGTCCAATCAGAGTGTAACACGGAGAACTTTGGTCCAATCACAAGGTGATAGGTGGAAGCCTCGCATGCGAGGTGAAGTGGCTGAAATGTAACCATGCGTTTTTTCCAAGTTTTCCATATTTTCTCGGTTTTTGAGCCAAAAACTTGTAAAAATCATAATTTTTGCATACAAACTCCGTTTTTGACGTTCTTTATATGCACGTGTAGGTAAAATTATAGTCTATGACTTTTGTTTGGACTTCGTTGGCTAATCTTGACTTTATTTTTAATATTATTACTTTTAACAGATCGGGATAGGAAAATCCGTTAAAAATTCATAACGTCTTCATCCGACGTCCGTTTTGTCTGTCTTTTTACCGTTGTACTACTATTGAGGAGACCTTCAATTCTCGTTTAGGTTGTGTCGGCTAAAAATCACTTGATCTTTATTTCGAGTTTTTAGTTGTACACTGCTATATTGAAACTTAGAAAAATCATAACTTCCTCATACGAAGTCAGATTTTGGCATTCTTTTTTATGAAAGTTCTCGGTTTAACATAAGCTAAAACTTTCATTTAGATTGTTAAGGCTAAAAAGCATTTTATTGAAAATTCAGTTTTTATACTGAAGCGTGGTTTGCCGGTTTTGTCGCGGATCCTCGATTGGTCATAACTTCTTCGTTATAACTCAAATTTCAGTGTTCTTTATATTTTTGGAAACCTTGTTATAATCTCTAACACATGGTTCATCCCAATCATGGTTATTGATCAATTTATTTTTGACCTAAATTTGACGGGTGTCATACCATGGCTCGTAGAGTAAGACCGTGGAGGGTTTCCAGTGCATCCCTATATGTTGTATGCATGGCTTATATGGTTTATGTAGCTTTTATAGCTGATATGGATTATATGAGTATGTAGATTGTGTGGAGTATGCTCTTGGGAACATACTAAGAATTAGCTTATAGATTGTTGATTGTTTCAAGTACTTCTGAGCCTAAGGGAAAGAGCAAGGCTTGATGGCGCGACATGCACTCTCTCAGGTGTTTTATGGGACACTATGATATTTGAAATAAAAATGTTGATATTATGAATTTGAAAACAATTGTTCTTGATATTGTGTGTTTTATTGGAAATGTTTTGATTATTTAAAAATGAAAATTTTCTTTTAAAAATTCGGGTTGTTACAAGTTGGTATCAGAGCCTTGGTTTGAGGGATTCGGGCACACTCTCGAGTGTGTCAGGATTCAAACTAAGGCCCGTGGATACTGAAGAACTTGATGAGTTACTCGGGTAACTCAGCAAGTTGACTCGGGATTTCAGTTTTATGGACCTTGAAGGAAGTTGACGAGTTGCTAGATTCCCTCGATGAGTTGTGGTCAACATGGATTGTTGACCTTGACAATGAACAGGGTTGACCAAGTTTAACTTTAAGGGTATTTATGGTATTTCGGGACTTTGACAAGTTAATCACATGATGGGTAAAGCAGTTGAGTTGGAGCTGCACGTTGGGATATTTGATCTTAACTTATCAGTTCAGTATTCTCAAGAGGTGAGTCTCCTCACCATACCAATGGGTCATAGGCACCAAGGCCGACCCATTATTTGTTATGTGACATGCTAGTTGGTTATGGGATATGTGGTATGCTAGTTGTAATTATAGTACTTGCATGAAAGGCTACGGGGGGTTCCTGATGCACTAGGGTGTAAGACCTCAGAGGATTTCCATGGCATCCTTAGTAAAGACCTCGGGGGGTTCCCGAGGAACTTGTGTGTAAGACCTTCGAGGTTTTCCATGGCATCATTGGGCTAAGACCATGTGGGAGTTCCCATAGCTCCCGGAGTAAGACCTTGGAGGGTTTCCACGGCATCCTTATATGTTTGTATGTCTGATTTATATGGTAGTGGGCTAAGACCATGTGCAGGTTCCAATGGCACCTAGAGTAAGACCATGGAGGGTTTCCAGGGCATCCCTATATGTTATATACATGGCTTATATGGTTTATGTAGTTTTTATAGCTGATATGGATTATGTGATTATGTGGATTGTGTGGGGTAGGGGTGTTTGCGGTGCGGTTTGGTGCGGTTTCGAGTCGAAACCGCAAACCGCACCGCATGTGCGGTTTGAAATTTTAGAAAACCGTAAACCGCACCGCGAAGATTCTAAACCGTGTTATGTGGTGCGGTTTGGTACAAGCGGTTTGTGTAATTTTTGTAAGGTTTATGCGGTTTGAAAAAGGATATGTATTTTTAATATTATGTACATAAAATTTATACATAAATATATTAGTTATAGAATCAAGATAAGTTGGTTTTGCCAATGTTTTAACAATACTAGTCATTGTTACATTAGATAATCAAATAAATAATCTATCACAAATTTTTTTTAAAAAATTAAAATTGGTGATATCAAAATTAATTAGTAATAAAACCAAATTTGTATCTTCCGTGTAATTTTTATGTGTTTATATATATATATATATATATATATATATATATATATATATATATATATATATATATATATATATATATATATATATATATATATATACATATGCGGTGCGGTTGGAACTGCAATGTTATAAATGGAAACCACAAACCACACCGCATAGTGCGGTTTAACAAAATTTCAAACCGCAAACCGCACCACACTAGTTCTAAACCGCATTATGCGGTGCGGTGTAGGCAGTTTATGCGGTTTGTGCGGTTTGATGCACACCCTTAGTGTGGGGTATGCTCTGGGGAACTCACTAAGCATTAGTTTGCAGTTTGTTGATTGTTTTACATACTTCTGAGCATATGGACAAGGGCAAGGTTTGATGGCGTGGCATGCACTCTCTCAGGCGTTTTTTGGGACACTCTGATAGTTGAAATAATATTAATATTATGAATTTGAAAAAAATTGCTCTTGAGATTTTGTGGTTTATTAGAAATGTTTTGATTATTTGAAAATGAAAATTTTCCTTTGAAAATTTGGGTTGTTACAAAGAGGTCCAAGAAAACATTCTAAACTGATCAAAAGGGTGTGGGAGTCAATATATGAAACATACAATGCTCTTGGGACTTTGGAGAGTAATAAAGTTGCAAACTTTATTCCCAACTATCACTAAAAACTCATTAAAATAGACCAACACACCAAATATACTTAGATCCAAGATGAATATTCAATAAAGCTTGGAACTTTATAACTTACAAAGGTCTAGAAGGTATATAAGAGTTGAGATCTCCAATTGTCAAGCTTCAATAATCAATCTTGCATGAATACATTGCTCCAAAACCACCAAAAAATCCAAAAATGGATGAGAGAGGAGAGGGGAGGCTCGAATCTTGAAAATGGAAGCTAGGGTTTCTCCTAAGAGGTTTTAGATAGGACGGAGGCTTAGAAAATACCTTAAAAGGTGAATCTTTACCTTTAAATACATTGAAAACCCTAAAACTTATGTAGGCTTTGGGTTGCACTGTTCTCATGTCGTGAGAATATATTCTCACCTCGTGAGCACTCTCACATCGTGAGAACGAGTTTCACCCAATGTCGCTCCAACTTCAAATAGTCATAACTTCTTCGTTTCAACTCCGTTTTCAGCGATCTTTATATCCACTGAAAGGTATTGACGGACCCATAATTCTATCTAGTTAATTTTAGCTTAACACATGTAGAACTAAAAATCATAATTCATGAAAGAAGTCTAAACCATCATTTTTCCCATTTTACCCCTTGACTCTAAGACACAAACCAAGGATTTAATCACTTATCGAACATTATCATCATCCAATAAGGTCTAAACCCCATTCTTTTGAAGCCCAAGACCTTTACTTAATCCATTTATTGTCCATAATCCCAAAATAAGAAACTTCTCAAAACAGAATGTTACGGCCAGAGAAGAACATAGTGACGGTGGTGGTCACGCGATAAGAACACAGTGGCGGTGGTGGTATGAAATAGCCCTAAAATCACAAACACAATTTGTATTGGGTTAGGAGGAGCCTAGTCTGGTTGGTAAAAGATTTCACATCAGTATGTTTGCTGCTTTTGGGTTTGCTAGAGTTTAGTTGAAATGCAAGCTAGACTTAGGGTTAGTTTGGTAATTCTTAAAGGTGGTTATTAATTATTAGTTAGTAACCAGAAGTTAGTTAATTATGGAAGTTAAAGCTAGTTATTATGTATTTAGTTAATTGGTAGTTATTGTTATTAAATAACCAACAAATTTGAAGGGTATGACGGTTATGAATGGTTGCACCTTTTCTTTGTGTATAAATATGTCCAGAATATTGTAATTGTGCTGTGGAGTTCATAAAACTTATGTTAGTTCTTTGTGATAACAGTTTCTATATTCTTCATTCTTAAAAAATGAAGATGTTTTAAGATTAACTCCAATAGCAATTTTCTAAAATGAAGAGCATTAACATCTACCCGCCATGATAGTTCAAAAATCCTAAAATTCAGAAGGAATAATGGGAATATATATATATATATATATATATATATATATATATATATATATATATATATATATATATATATATATATATATATATATATATATATATGCATTAATTTCTTTTGTTAAAATAACTAAAATATTGATCCAGAATCAATCGTATATATAGATAGATAGATAGTAAAACTTGAAAGAGAACCAACCTCAACTTGATAATGCAAAGGGTATTTTACAATTTGTATATGCTTACAGATTACGGAAGATGGTGCTAACACAAAAACTGACCATAAAAACAGAATATAGCAATTACATGGAACAAGTGGCGAGAGTTTAGTAATTGGTAACAGAGAAAGAGCTGTATGGACATGGAGGTTCCACCACTTCAATTCCTCCCTCAAGCATCTGGTTGACCTTCCTCATGGTAGGCCTCAATGACGAGTTTTCTTGTACACACCAAAGACCAACCATCACAAATGTTGCAAGTTTTTTGTGGTCATTTAAGGCCTCCAAATCATTCTCAACAAATGCCTCCAGCCGACCTTCTTGATAGCAATCCCATGCAAGATCAGTTAAAACCACCATCCCTTCATCATCACTCTCAAACACCAAGCTCTTTCGGCATGAAATGATCTCTAAAAGCAAAACTCCAAAGCTATAGACATCAACCTTTATTGTGACAGGTGTGTTCCTAAACCATTCAGGAGCAAGATAACCTTTTGTTCCTCTTATTCCAGTGTTCGTATGACTTTGATTCAACATCAAAAGTTTTGCCATTCCAAAGTCAGAAATCTTAGCATTGCAGTAGTCATCAAGAAGTATATTTTTAGGCTTTATGTCACAGTGAATGATTTGGGTGCTACATTCTTCATGAAGGTATGCGAGTCCCTTAGCAATCCCAACAGCAATATGACTCCTCTGTCTCCATGTCGGTCTTGTGTCCCCAAAAAGAAACATCGCCAAAGTGCCATTGCTCATGTACTCATAAACCAATAGTCGCTGATCACCTTCATCACAATACCCAAGAAGCTGTACCAAATTTTTATGATGAGTTTTTGCAATGGTGTCAACCTCCGTTTTGAATTCCTTATCACTATCATGAACTACAGTATTCAACTTCTTCACAGCTACGATCTTTTTTCCTATCACACCTTTATAGACTATCCCAAAACCCCCCTTTCCCAGTTCATCTTTGAATCCATCTGTAGCTTCAACTAGTTCTTGATACGTAAAAGAAGGCAGATTGGTTTCAACAGCTTTACGAATTGAATATGTGTTCATAGGCTTCTTCTTGTAGATTACAAAGAAACCCACACAAATCACACCAGTCAATACAAAGATGATAAACACTGAAGTACCTAGGAGAACCGATCCGACAACTATCAGACTTCTTCGATCTTTATTTTTTCCAGGAAGCCCAAGAGGGTTTTGAAGAGGATGATCACCAATCTGGTATTTCACGAACGCCCTCACATTAGCTGAATCAACCTTCCTCCCGTTAGAAAGTGGAAGCTTCTTCTTCCAACATTGGGTGTCCCTATATATTGCAACAGCACAGAAACAATCTTCCAAGCAGGAACTTTTACAGGTGTTTTCATTACTTGGGTTCATATGCACATAGTCTGAAAATGGCCAATCAATATTTTGGAGCTCGATGAAATCAAACATGCCTCGCCCATTATTGGAGTCAACTTCATCACATGTTGGAGTGAAATCAGGCTTGCAATCACCACTTGGATTATTTGGATCAAGCAATGAGAAACCCTTTGGGCATTCACAGTTTGGCCGGTTACCATCAAAACTGCAAACGTTGTTAAACCCACAAGCTCCAGTGCTTGAACGATCACTTGAATCCACACATATGTTATCTGGCACGAACCATATAACTTCCCAATTTGTATTGGAGATGGGATTCTTGGGGAAGTAATATTGGCGAAAAACCCCATCAGAGTCTAGAGTAGCTCTGTGATAATAATCTCCAGAAGGAAGTGAGCCTCTTGGAGTAAGATCAAATCGTTGGCCATTTCTTCTCAATATATACATGTATCCCGTTGCATCGAATATCACTTGTTCACCGGAGTTTGTTGAATTAGAATCATCATATGTGCCACTGATATAGTAAGCATCATAAGTATTACCTGAAAGTGTATCTCGAATGTTAAGAACAAGATTCCCATCTGGAAGCAGACGTAACTGGAATCGTCCACCAGAGAAGTTTGTTGGACTGATTGTTGAATTCATCCCTCCACCTCTCTCCATAACCTGAGTAGGCAACAGGGTGTTTGCTGGAAAATCATAACTACCCCATAACTTGCGAGAATTGCCACCAAAAACCACGAAGTTACCTGTATCATTCATAAAACCTGATGCAACACCGGAAATGGATCCAGATCTCCATACCTCTGTGCCCTGAGGATCCGTGAGTACGAGTCCACTTTCACGAAGTAGCTCAACTTTGGATCCTGTAGGCACCATCCGACCTTCTTCTGGATACCAGACGATGGTCTTGTCAGGTATCTTCTCGTACCATATGGATAACAAGAAATTATCGTTACCCTGAACTTGTTTGAACCCAAAGGCAAATTCACCAGATGATGAAAGCCATGGTTTCACATCGGATGTGGCTTTGAGTGATGCACCAACAGATACAGAACCATCATTCTGTTGTGCAGCTATGAAACGTAGGACAATAGTTATAAAGACGAGACGCAATTGGGCTGCAGCCATATGAAATTGGTGGAATGATGGACAACAATGATGGAATGAGGATGTAATGAATAATAAGATCGTTGCTTTAATGTCAACAGAAAGACTTTTTGAGTCTACAAATAATGCAAAAAGTCTCATGTGGGCAGAAAATAAAGATTGGTCCATATGGTTCCTTTCCTTGTAATGACAATTCATGACCATTTCCTTTGATTTTTCTTTGGTATCATGTCAATCAAAGGAAACCCAGATACACGGCAGGAAACATACAATCAGCAAACCCGAAAGGAAGACATAAAATTAAACAATGACCTTTTCTTGCATACTGCATATGTGATGTTATTTTTCAAACTAATACAAACGTCGTTTTGCAATTTCAGAATGTTTGAGAAAAAGATGAGCACAAAAATATCAAAAAGTCGAGATGTTCAATATAAAATTATCATATTTTATATATTTATTATAAGATAATAAAAATTATATATTTTATAGATGTATTTTTTTGAAATAAAAAAAAATTAAAAAAAAAAAAAAAAGATTTCGTAAATAGTTTACGAAATTTTTATTAGTAAAATTACTTTAGTGACGTTTCAAATTAAATAATATAATTAATATCGTGTAAAGAGATTAATATTTTGTGAAATTAAAGACATGGTAAGGGTGTTTGAGATTGTTTATTTTAAGTATTGTTTTTTTTAAGTTATTTATTATTTTATTTAGTGATAATTTTTTTTTTAAAAAATATTTGTATTCGTTTATGCGGTGAAAAGAACCTATAAGTTGAACCATCATTTTTTTTAAATGTTTGGATTATTTATGTGGTGGAAAAATGGTATAAGCTAATAACTCATTTAAAAAAAATTGTTTAGATTAACTTATTATATATATATATATATATATATATATATATATATATATATATATATATATATATATATATATATATATATATATATGATCAAATGAGAACACCTAAAAGGTTGAGAACGCGAGAACAATTTTGAACCAATCAATATACAAGGGTATATAGGTAAATGTGCCCTTTAATTAAATTATAAAAAATAAAATAAAAATGGTATGTTACTAAATTTTAGGGATTCAAATTACGGTTACTAAAACGAGAATTATTCATTGTTTTTATATTATTAATTAAAGATAAAAAAATTCTAACAATTTTCCTTTTGAATTTAAAAATCAAAAAATTTTATCTTGCTTTACCTAATTAATGTTCATAAATGAATAAATATCAAACTATTTTATCTTGAATGCATAGAATAAAATTTTGCTAATTTTTTGCTTTATTTTTATCAAGTAATGTCATATTTATAAGTGAAGATGCAATGATTAGACTCGTTTTTTTTTTCATGAATTGACAACAAAGAATGTTTGAGAATTCATCATTTCATTCGAAAGAAGAAACCACTAATCATAATCATAAATGAATACAACTCTAAACGAAATCATTTCATTACAAAAGAATGAACATCTAATCATAATCATACATGAATACAAATTCAACCATACATTTCTAACCATATATGAATATATTTTAACAAAATACAAAAGACATCTAAATTTAAACATTTCCAGTCGTTATATTCATTGATAAATATACCACTAATCATAAATGAATTCAAAGAGGGGCGCCCTTGATCATGTTGTCGATTTCCTTGCTTACAATTATCATTATTCAAAAAATCAAGCTCTTACATTAAACCTGTTCAAAACAAAAATCATTAAGGTATAAACACATGATATTATAATATAGTTCTATTCATTGATGATTAAACTCAAACAACCTATTTATAAAATCTGGTTTATCGGTTTGGACATTCCCTTGAGAGTCTTCTAAATACTCTTGAATGTTTCCTAATAGTCATCCACTATGCAAAATACCTTTGATGAACTAGCCACATCGTTTTCCTGAATTTGAAAAAACAAAGTTATATTACAAAATCAAAAAAAAATCATTATTTAAAAATGAATCATGTTACAAGCAGTAATGGAAGATATACAATCAATAGTGAATAAAATACATTACATGCCTACTCTTATAATGTTTCCTAAACTTTTCAATAAAATAACTTTAAATTTCCATAACAAAATACAAACAACAATCACAAATTCATAATTCATGATCAAGTTCTCCACTTGCAACCAAGATTTTCACAAGGTTGATAACACAACCAAGTAAAGATGCGAGAATGAATAAAAGGGTTAAAAAAAAGAAACTTAGCTACCTAGTGATGAACGAATCGTGTTCTTTTCCTACAAAGAACTGATGATTTAGAAAAATCAATTAGAACAAAAAAAGAGTAGATCGATAATTGAGAACCTAGAACAGGCATCCATTAGAGGTTAGCCACCTGCGGAGGTGGAATCAGGTAATCAACAACCACCACGCTCTTTATGGAATCACCGGCTTTCTCCTCATGCGAGTTCACACCTTCCGAATTTGAATCCAGTGCCTCCAAATTAGCCTGCCCAGGCAAAAAAGCAATTGAAGCGATTGTAAACCCTTTCGCCCTTTCATGAGAGAAATTCTCACCCAAACTTAGCTGTTCAATCGCTTGAAACTGATCTTTAATTCATCCAATCACTTCCAAAACCCTAGCTTTCTCATTTTCCCCTAAATTCCCCTTCAACTTCAGAAATGTAACTCTTATCGCCGACCCTGGCTTCGGTGAGAAACTAGCACCATTAAACATCCAATCAACGGCCATGATGCCATCAATGATCGGTTTATTCTCTTTGACGACGCGAACGTGCTTAGGATGCACCACGTACTCCAGGAGATCCTCCTTTGATCTGTATCGATTGTGAAGCATGTGAGTGAAGGTAAGCGACGATGACCGAGAGTGAAGGAGTTGTCCGAAGGAGAGGTGGAAGGTGAGGTTGAGTGATGCTAAGCCGTTAAGTCCACTCACCATAGGGGTTATGGCGGAGGATGAGATGATGAAGGTGGACATGCTCTGTGATGTTAGTCTGCAGAAAATGGAGGCGTGAGGTGTGCGGCGTGCCCTAGATTTACAAAAGATAGATGAAGAGAGTCACGGGAATTAAAGGAAATATGTGGATGGTTGAGAAATTATAGGAATTAATTAATGTTTCTAAAGATACAATAACTGTAATACCCTTTTCACCATTTAAAAGTTACACTTTAATACAAGTAATTTTAGAATTTACATAAATGGCCCGTTTGATAACAGCCTTAGATTTTATTATTTAGAAGCTCCAGATCTGTTCTCGCGTTCTCAACCTTTTTGGTGTTCTCAATTGATCCTACTCCTATATATATATATATATATATATATATATATATATATATATATATATATATATATATATATATATAATTTTTTTTTAACCGGCAAATACAAATATACTAATCTACTCCTAAACTAACACCTAATTCCACATATGTCCACGACGGGACTTGAACCCTCGACCTCAAAGAGGGAGGGCACCACTTGATACCGATGGACTAGAAGCTCTTTGGTTAACAAAAATTAAATAATTTATAACATCATTAAGGGTATTTTGAGATTTTTACATTATCAATTAATAGGATCATTTAATTAGATCTATGCAATTAAGGAAACAAAATAATAATTTTGACCTACTCTTTCTCTTTTATCCCATGATGGATCTTTTCACCTCAATTTCTCCCTTTCTTTCTCTAAAAACTACCGGCAATATAAGTCGCTCCATTCAATTGTCTGGAAAAAAAATCAACTCGATTCACACCACCGTTATTTCTATCCTTCCTGGAACCTCGATATCATCGATTTAATAGTTGGCTTCCTTCTTCTTTTCTCCAATCAAGACAGTATCGATCTCTTCTGAATTAAGGTAAAATTCTCAATCAAACCAACTTCTTGTTTGATGTAAATCGATTTGGAGGGTCTTTTATTTGGATGTCGTTGCTATAGTCTCTTTATTATACAAAGTTATAACATTGATATAATTGTGAAATTCCTAAATTCACATTCATTTAAAAAAGAATTGCTTATTTTAAAATCAGATTATTCTTTTTAAAGAATAGTATTGCGGAATTTGTCCCCAAAAAGGCAAAATTATGATAAATATATTATCAAAGCATGTCCGAAGAAATGTGTTTTATTTATATTAAAACATTGGGATGTCATCGCGAATACAAAAACATAAGCATAAACAAATCTTACATTCATTTACACTAATGATTTGCATCTCCTTTAATCTTTTAGTATAATGTATCTTCATATCGATACTTGTGATACAAATAAATTGAGTGGGTCATGTTGGGAAACCTGGTGATTACTTAGGATTTTCAACCCACAATAATATAGTTAATTTGTTTCTTCACATACTTCATGAAAAATAAATAACCCAATTACCCATACCATTATCTTCTTAATTCTTAAGAATCTACCCAAATAATCATTTGTTCTTCAATAGTTATTCCTAAGGATTTTCTTAAGGAATAGGCACGAAGTTCATCGCTGCCAGTGGTTTATCTAACAGAGTCTAAATCCATAGTTTCCAATGTTATGCAGAGCTGTCAATGTTAACTATTAGACACTAAGTTCATAGCTGTCAATGTTCATTAATAAGACACTAAGTTCATAGCTATCAGGGTTTTAAGAGTACATCTGTTGCACATGTAGTTCAAAAACACATATAGGTTGTGAGCCTGCTAACATTCCACTATATTGTTTAAAATAGCATGTGGATGTCATCTATACTCTACTAGATGATTGAATCAACTTTAATGTCAAGGCTTTTCATCATCTATATTATCTTTCATTCATATTATCCATAATCTACTCATCTTTACCCAATATATTTATAGGTATAAAAATACATGTACAGTTTTAAATCAAGTAAAACCTGTATAAATCGTTCATCTAGCATAAATATCACGAACACAAATAATAAGAACATATATCATGTATTAATATTAAATACTTCATATCTCTATGTAAGATGAAAGTAACTATACACTCACTTGTTAAAGTGACGACATTGCTTCACTTCTAACAATTGTCTCTTCCTTTGACAAAACCTAGTATCATTATTAATTCTTAGTCTAATATTTATTGTGACTAATTATTAGTCTAGATTCATCATTAACTCAAAGTCTACTTTCATGATCTATCAAGTAAGAAACAACCAAGTATGATCATATCGGAGGTAGGGTCTGTTTGGTATACAAAGTACACTGTTTGGAATCAAACTTTAAACACCTCACTAAATCACTACCTAGACATCATACCCCTAAGTAGATCAGTCAGTATAACGACTAGGAATCACTGATAAATTTTGTTTATAGGTTCACAATAACGATAATGAACTTAAGCATAACTTATACTTAAAGTACGGTGAATATAACTTAACTTACAGGTGGTTTAGCAAGAAACCAGACTCTATGCGGGTAGAACATCGGAGTCGAAAGCTCTTCTTCTCGGCGTTTTCCGGCGCTCTACGACTAGCTACTAACTCCTAGGAAATGCTAGAGAAAAGCCTTGAGACTTTGGGGGTGTTTGAGAGAGAGTTGGTTGAAGAGATGTGAGAAAAAAAGTGAAAAACATCTTCTATTTATATGAGGTTTTCTATAAGTACCCCCCCCCCCCTTGATTTTTCGTCTTTTGTTGTTTTTTTCTTATTTTGTTTTTTTGTTCTTTTTAATTTATTATTATTATTATTATTGTTATTATTATTATTATTATTATTATTATTCTTATTATTATTATTATTATTATTATTATTATTATAAATTTCACACAAAATTTTAATATTTTGACAACATTATAAATTCAAACGGCTATATAAAATCGGGTTTTAAATATTTTTTAAATTTTAATATTAATATTATTATTGTTATTATTGTTATTATAAATTCCGAACACCATTTTATAAATTGGACATTATAAATACGGTATTACAATTGTGTGGTACATTATGCGGATTGAAAACATTTAGTCGAGCATTTGTAAATACCGTACCAATTAATATTAATAATTAATGGGGACAAACTTTGTTTTTGTTCCGTTTTTATATAGCAATTCAAATTTATAATGTTCGATTTATAAAATGTTTTTCAAAATTTATAATAATAACAACAATATTAATATTAATATTAATATATAATCAATATTTAAAAACCAATTTTTTATAGTCGTTCGAATTTATAATGCCGTCCAAGTGTTAAAATTTCATGTGAAATTTATAATAAATAATAGTAATAATAATAATAATAATAATAATAATAATAATAATAATAATAATAATAATAATCTGTGTCAAAAATGACAAAAAAAAATGATGTTAAATCAAATGTCAAAAATTTGATTTTACTGGGGGTGGGGGGGGGGGGGGGGTGGGCGTAAATGTAGATAATGAGGTAATTATAGCACAACTTTTAAAGGATGTCAGCACCGAGTACGTGGGGCGTACGCGAAGGGTACATTGGGCGTACTACATGTTACGTTGGACATACTCGTGCCACATGTCGCGATCAGGTGCCAAATCGTGGGGAGGAAGTTATGACCGAGATCTTGCCACGTGTCACTCGCTAGTTAATCCCAAAGATTAATTATCTTCTAAAATCCGTAACTTTCGCATACGAGCTCCGTTTTTGACATTCCTTTATACCCACGCGTAGGTAGCGACATGATCTACAACTTTTATTTAGACTTCATTGGCTAATTTTTACATTTTTTAAAGATGTATTTTAACAGACTTAGATAATTAAAGTTCGCTAAAAATTCATTACTTTGTCATTCGATGTCTGTTTTCGACTGTCATTATATCGTTGAGCTCCTATTAACAAAATCTTCAAATCTCGTTTAGGTTTTATTGGCTAATAATCGATTGATCTAAAATTCTATTTTCAGGTTGTATACTACCATGCAAAATCTTTGAAAAATCATAACTTCCTCAAACGAAGTTAGATTTGAACGATCTTTATATGCACGATCTCGATTTACTATGACTTTTGTTTAGATAACTAAGGATAAAAAGTTTTTCCTTAAAAGCTCACTTTTATGATACGCGATGTCGTGTCCGTTTAGTCGCAAAACTTCGACGGGTCATAACTGATGGGTTTTGGCCATAAGAACATCCTATGTGCTCATGCAAACCCTAATGCTTGGATCTAGGTTTCTCTATTGTACATGCAATTTATCCAAGACTATAAACCCTATGTCTAGCATATGATAATCGATATTAACATAATAATGGGTTTAAGATATTACCTTGATTGTTATTTAGCAATAACAATTACAATTCCTTCTTGTATTGACTTTAGAAAGCTTAGAGTCACAAATGTCACTCCTCTAATGGTTCACAAACACCAAGAGCAAGAGGATGAAGAGGAAGGAGAGAAGGAGGCTGCCCAAAACATGTGGAAACCCTAACCAATTAGTTCACCACATTTTTGGGGCTTAAGGGTCCTTTAAATAGTGAGGCTATTAGGGTTATCTAACAAGGAAACCTTAATTTGGATGCTTAGGCCCTAAGAAACCCATGAACTCCTTTCTTAAAGGTCTTGGGCGATTTCTAATGGGTTTCCCCATAGAATTCGTCCAACCTTATATAATCAGGTAATCCATAGCCCAATTGCAATTATCTTATAATTAAAACTCCAGTCCTTTAAGTTTAATTAATCTCTTTTAGCCACAAACTTAATTCTTATTAATTGTTGACTAATATTAATTAAACAATATGATTTCTCCTTTAATATATTATTCTCATAATATATTAATAAATCATATTTAATCCTTTCTCTCCATAATTCATCCTATCAAGTTGCTTTGGTGAAGGCAACCCAAAAGGACCATGCACCATCGAGTCAAGTACATACCAAAATAGTTATGGACTTAGACACTAATCCAACAATAACTTCTTCGTTATAAGTCAGATTTCAACATTCCTTATATGTACAGAATCCTTGTGACATATACTATAAATTTGGTTAAGATAATTTATG